GGAGGTTGACCATAGCAAATTATGGGGACTTCCTTCTACTATTTCTTTGAAGGCAAATATTTTCCTTACTGTTTTGCTCTTTTCTGATTAATGGTACTCCTCTATTCAATATTCTGTTTTGATAAGTTCTATAGTGTTCTATATTTCATCTCATTTTGATATACGGGATTGAAAGAACAACTATTATAAAGATAACAAAATATACTGTGAAACCTATTACTGTTATCCTGGTAACCTGCTGTGAAGTTCTGTACCAGTTTCACTGTACGATCTTAGTTGGCTTTATTCTGACTTGTTCTGTTGTATACTTTCAAAATAAAAATTAAAAAAAAAAAGTCCATCGCCTTGCATACCCTGACTACAACAGGGACTCTTTCTTAAAGGATCCTTTAAGCAGGGTTTCTAACAACATTTCCTTCCTCCCTATTTCTTGGGTGCACATACATGTGTGCTCATGTTGCCTTTCTAGCTTTTGCTCAGTGCAGTGAACTGTATTAAGGTCAGACACTCTGAGCCACTAACGTCCTGGTTTCAGTGGTCATCTAAGAAGAAAAGATGAACTTCCAAAAAGGGGCCGAACACTCCTGCCCAGGCCCTGCACGCCAAATGATGCCTGCAACCTGCTTCAGCCTTAGGAAACTTCAGGAACAACAACAAAAAAATGGTTTAGCTTCCAGCACAGGTGGGGAGCATATGTATCTTTCCAGAAAGCAACTGGGATCTCAGAGGTGCAGCCTTTGCCCCAGAAATCCCAATTCTAGAAACATCACAAAAGAGTTCCCTACAACTGGAAAACAAGCACAGGACCTAGCCTATGTTGTTTACAGCACAAAGAATGACAAACAATCTAACTGTCCACCAACGGTGGACATTAAAAAGTGGGTAGCTATACATGAAAGAACCCTACTAACCCATTTTAACAGTGACCAAGAAGCCATATCATGTGGGGCAAGGTTTCAGCAGGCCCAAGGACAGAGTTCAGCTACTCATAAGCTCTGAGACTTAGAAAGTTATTTCACAGCTTTGGGCCTTGGCACCAACAGCCTGCACTCCCTCTAGCTGCTCCCTGGCATTCAAGCTTGTCACTTGCCCATGGGACAAGGTGGTGATGAAAATCATTCAAAGGAACTGCAGAAATAGAAACCACAGGAGGCCTGCCCATCTGGTGGCCATCTCAACTGAAGGACTCTGAGCAGGTGACCTGCGATTCTCACCTGGCCTCCTAGTGCCAGCTTGACCTGCAATCCCCAGAGACTACAGGTGAGGTTCCCAGCCTAGACGGACCACCGTTCAGGTAAGGAGAGCATCTGTAGCCCTTGAAGCACCACTGTACCATGCCACCAAACTGACTCTGAAAGCAGAAGCAGCTCCTGGACCTCAGCACCTCCTGCAGGCTGCTCACCTAGTCCCCCCATGGGTGCCGGTTGTGTGTATGGGGGCCTGGGTGTCTTCTTCACTGCCATCACCATCAGCTCCGCAATACAATACAATACAATACAATACAATACAATACAATACAATACAATATTAAATCTCCACAATACAATACAGTGCAAACAGGCCCCTGACCATGCCCTGTGTTATGTTGGAGGCCAGAACTACCTCACCACAGGCCAGACTAACAAAGCTACACAGAAGGAGCCAAAAAGTTGTGCTCCTCTATAGAAGTGGCCCAAGCCACCAGGTGCCCATCCTGGGGCTCTAGAGGCTGAGAAGGTGGCAAAGGTTTGGCTGCTTTCCCACAGCTGGCCAGAGCTCCAGGGCACTATCATCTGGCCCTGGGGTGGGACAAGAGTGGGGTGGAGGCTTAGGGTGGGAAAGGTCCCAGGCACTGAGATAAGACCTGCCTGGGCAGAGATGGTGAGAGTCCAGTAACAGACACCCCTAATCTAGGTTACCCAAACTCCCAAGATGTCAGAATGGACTTTCTCGTGGGTCTAGGGCACTTGTTTTAAAAATCTGCTGGGCCTGGCCCTTCCTCCAGCTGCCATCTCGTACCCCACTGTGAGCTTGCTCTCTGGACTCCAGGTATGCAGCTTCCCTTCCCTTCTTCCCCTCGGGCCTCTGCAAGTCCCTCGTCCTCAGCCCAGTCCTGGCTTCCACTCACCCAGCTCGCTCCTCCTCGTCCCATGGCCCCACCAAGGCATGAGCTCCTGGGGAAACCTTCCTCCACACGGGGCACATTCTGGAACTTTTCTGAATGCTACCTACTGGGATCTGTGCTTACCAACAGTGAGGTAACCTGTGAAAGACCCACCTCCTCCACTGGGGCTCCAGGCCTTGCTCCCCACTGTGTGCTAGGCCTGACCTGTGGCTGGGCTCTGTAATGCTGGCTGAGAGACACACCTGAGGGACACATGTGTATGGGGCCTACAGCCAACCTCCTCAGGCGACTGAGATGTGGACTTTAAGCCCAGGTATCTGTGCCAGGGCAGATAGGGAGCACTAGCCTTTGGGTCCCTGTACTTGGGCACTGGCACTCACTCTTTGGACCTTCTTGGTGAAGCTGCAGGGACTGGGAGTGGGGAAGAAGCTGCCAACAACACCCAAGATGTGGCCTTCAGTTTCTGGCCGCATCAAAGCCAAGCTTTCCCAGCTCTGCTGGGTCTTGTGGTGCAGCTCAGAGGAGAGGTTTCCAGCTGGTAACATGTGTATGCCAACCTCTAAGGCCTCCAAAGGCACTGGGTCATTGTGGCTCCTTGAATTTGAGGCTGCTTCCCACATCGGCGCTGCTGTACCCTTGGGCCCACAGGACCTTAGGCTCTGCTTTCCAGAATCTGCCCTCTGTACACCAGCCCTACTCCACAGTGGCCTCCCCCCACGGTAACCTCCACCAAGAGCACAGTGCAAGTGGGAAGCCCCGGACTTCTAATGCCAGAGTGGAACCTAGGACCCCAGCTCCAGGGATGACTCCTCAGGGTCATCTGCCATTTTTTCCCTCACAAGCACACCTTCAGCTTCAGAGTGATCGCTCCAGCTGTGTTTGGGAGGGGAAGCTTCCCCCTCCCAGAATCAACAGACAGGGGCCAGGGCTAGGAGAGTCTCAGGCTGGCCCCCGAGAACAGGGACCTCAGCTGTGAACCCTCACACTCCTGGATAAGTGGCCTACCTGCATGACAGTGCTGATAAAGGACACTCGCTGGAGCCAGGTCAAGGAAAGCCAGTGAGACCAGAAGCAGCTGATTGTGACTGTGGCTGATTGTTAGTGGCCATGAGCCAGAGGGCAAGAAATGAACTCTTCCTCTCTGAGGGTATTGAAGACACTCCTTGTGCAAGGCAACCATGACACTAGCCACCTGACACCACAATTATGAAGTTAGTGCCTGGCAAGTCCTGGACCTGGCAAGTCTTCTGACGAGTTTCACTTGGGTACATACGCCAGTGAGAAGAGAACAGAGTTCCCAGAGCAAGGCACACAGCGAGCACTCAGTAAACACCTGCTGTACAGCTCATACATAAAATGCACTGCCCCAGAGAGGAGGCAGACTTGGAAACCAAGGGGCAGAAGACAGTGACTCTTTTTATAAGGTTGTGGCAGGTGCTGCTTAACCCACCCACTTCTGTCTATTCCATGGACACTGGCCCAGACCAGCCTCCACCATCACCCTCCCAAGGACCCTCCCCACGTGTCCTAGCAGCATCTGTTGTTTTTTGTTTTGTTTTGTTTGAGACAGGGTCTTTCTGCATAGTTCAGGGTGGCCTTAACTCACTATGGAGGCCTGGCTGGCCTCAAACTTGCCATGATCTCCTGCCTCTGCCTCCTCAGTGCTGGGATTATAGATGTGCACCACCATACTTGGCTTCTTTCTGTTTTTTGAAACAAGGTCTCACCATGCAGTTCACGCTGGCCTTGCAGTGATTCTCCTGCCTCAGCCTCCTAAGTGCTGGGGTTACAGGTATGCACCACCACAACAAGCAGAATCCCCTCCCATACTGCCACTCAGCTAGCTCTCTACAGACCCGGGGTGGTTTCAAAATGAGGAGGTGCTGGAAACCACTGCAAATAGGGGGGAAAAAGCAAAGGACAGAACGAGGGCAACGGTCTGTGTGAACCTCACCAAAGTGACTTCACACACAGCAGATAACTAAACTGAAGGATTCGCCCTTGCAGGCTCTGAATGGGAAAATGCTAGACCACACACAAAACAAGCTTGCCGAGGAGCTGGAATCTTAATGTGACTCCACTTCCACACACCCCCACCCCAGTGGGTCCACAGGAAACGCAGAGGGCCAAGGACTACGCAAAAAGGACACTGTTAACAGGACCAGGGGCAAACTGCATAAATAAATAAGAGACAGGGGGGGGGACCTGTCAATTAGGAGGGAAGAAATGCCACCTGCCTATCTTACTGTGCTGCTCGTAGCTGGATCCCAGGAATCCGAGCACTGAGTGGGTACCTGAGGATGTTAGAATCAGCTTGTCAGATGTGAAAACAGTCCTAAGGTTATGTATATCGTTTTCTCCAGAAACACGTAATATAACATTAGGAGAAAAAAATAGTCAATATTTGGGATTTGGTTTAAACTACTCTAGGCATTAGGGCATCAGACAAAACAGGGCTGTCCATGGGACACCATGAAAGTCACATGGATGGAAATTTGACGCTTGCACCTCTGGCTAGTTTGGTACATGTTTCAAATTTTCTGTCATAAAAAGGATGTTACAGTGATGGCTTGTTTGGAGTCAAAAATATCTCTAATAAAGGAAGAAAGAACCAAGTTGGGAGGCAGAGGACCTGGTCCAGGGTGAGGGATTTCAAGCTGTTCCACTGTTGCTAAGGCATTCCACGAATGCTTGATTGCCAGCTTTCTCTTTCAAAAACATTTTTAAGAAGTTTCTTTTCTTTTCTTTTTGAACCGGGTTTCACTGTGTAGCACAGGCTGGCCTCAAATTCATGGTGATGCTCCTGCTTCAGCCTCCCGAGTGCTGGGTTTACAGGCATGCACCATCATGCCCAGCTTATAACTAGTTTTCTAAACTGCACTGAACATGTACTCACCTCACTCTCTGATATGACAGGATACTGTGCAGCCTGTGACAGAGCCAGCCCACGTACTATCTGTGATAGTCTATGAAACAAAATTACAGAAGAGAAGTCAGAGTTCAGAAATTTTTCAAGCCATTTGGCACAGTGATCTTATGTCTGCTGAGTCTCTTTTTTTTTTTTTTTTTTTTTTGGTGGGGGGAGGTCTTTTTGAGACAGTCTTTCTATGCAGTCCAGGCTGGCCTTGAGCTCACTTTGTTGCCCAGTCTGGTCTCGAACTTGCAGTGATCCTCCTGCCTCAGCCTCCCAAGCACTGGGATTACAGGGGTGCACCACTATGCCCAGCTGCCTTCTGAGACTTATAAGATAGTAGGTTTCATTGTGGATAGCTTCATCCTTATTACACCATTCATTTTCATTGAAATTTTAATCAGCACATGAGATTAAAATTTTACAAAAGAACAACTAGTCCTTTATACAGTGTAGAAATGTTATGAACCAGACATTAATCCCCTGGAGATGCCAAAGCGGTTTGCACATGTGGACTGCCAGAAGGCCCAGGACAAAACCTCCCAGTCACTGTTTGCTGTGTGAACTTCATTACTCGTTACAAACAGAGCATGGACAAGAAGGGAGAAATTCTGCACTGCCTACTGACACCCAAATCCATGTCCTTGCACAATCATGCCAGTGCAAGCTAAGCCACGTCCCACGAACACCAGCAAGGCCCAGGACTACAAATGCCCAGAGACACTCCCCTTCGAGCTTCCAGATCGGTCTGACCCTTAGGTCTTGGAACACTGACTGCTTCTCTGTATCAGCTGGAAGTTACTCTGTCACTGAAGTACATACATAAACCATGAGGCAAGGGTCTGAGTCAACCAGCTCCTGGTTTCCAGAGTGTGCCCTGAAAAGAGTATGGCTGTTCTCACTGTGATAAGCGAAAAAATAAAAACACAAATATACACTTAGCAAGTAAACTCACACTAGCATTCAACACTGCTTATATCTGTGTGACGCACTGAGGCTCTGTGTCCGAGTTCCACTTCTTCAGAAGAGAAAGCTGCTGGTGGTCAAGATCCTTGGGCTGCAGTTGCAACTCTGCACTCACCCAGGGTTTAGCCTCTCTAGACCTCAGTTTCCTCATTTACAAAGCGGAAACTGTTGTCCTTTCCAGTTGTTTTGCTTTTGTTTTTTGGTGAAGGCAAAAAGAGGTCGGGGCTAATAACACACTTTGATGAATTAAAAATGCAAAACTAAAAATAAAAGCACACAGGGATGCTTGCAGTGGGGCCTGAGTGCTAGCCCTCCTTTTCTGCTTGCTTAGTCAGATTATCTCATTTCCTCCTCCAGAAAGTACAGAGTGTGATGCTACAATGATGCCCAATAACAACAGATGAACTCACATTCATTGACAAAAACCCTACATGTGCTAATCACGGAGCAGCCTGTGATTCTCCCCAGGGTCTAAGAGGCTTGCCCCATCACTTTACTTACTGATGGAGCTTAAAGACAGCAACATGGTACCTGCTTCTGGACATGGTACCTGTGTTCTGGACATTCTGTGAAGCCCAATATGATAACAACATATGAGAAAATCAATACAAGTACCCAAGGGACCAGGACAAGGACCAGAGCCATGAATGTGATCTGCAGGTTCAATCACATGGAGTCTCATTCTAGGAGCTGGCAGGAGTGTCATGAAAGCTAGGTCCTCCTCCTGGAGCAGAGAGAATGTGTGCAGTTCTGTAGCCATGCTGGGAACTGCAGGGTGCAAGCCCTGGGCATGGCTTCAGGGTCAGAGCAGGCACTGAAATTGAGCTGGCCAGTCCATGGAGCTAGAGCAAGGCAGGAGTAGTGCAAGAACCAGAGTACCCTACCTGCTCCTCCCAGCCCAGCCTGCTGCAGAGCCCCAGAGGAGCAAGCCCGAACTTGCCAGAAACAGATGCTTTTTCACAGACAATGAATCTACTGTTGATTAGCCAAAGCCTTCACTTACATTTGCAAAAGGATGGAGTGGAAAATTACACCTGTGTAGGTGGAGGTAGGACCCAGGGACAAGGCAACAACCCTGGAAGCTGAGCCCTCTCAGGGATGAATCTGGCACAGCAACTCATGTCGGAGTAACCACGACAGAACCTGGGACTGTCATTATTTTATGTTCCAGGGGTATTTTCCTATTTGTGTCAGAGCTATTAGGCTATTTTTTTTGTTTTTCAGTCTCCCCTGACCCTAAGTCTACACAACAATTATAAGCTCTTCGGCTTGCTTTCCTGTCTCTATTTCTTCTGAGACTGTTAACAGCCCTACTAGAGAGGCAGAGCTGATGTAAGCCTCATGTTAGGATAGATGGGGAAACTGAGGATCCAAAAGACCAGGAGCCCCAGTGAAGCCTAGCAGATCATGAGTCCCAGAGCCAGGCTCTCTGTGGCCAGGAGTCTAACAATAGGGGTGGCACAGAGCCTATCCAGGGACTCATCAGGGCCCCACATATAAAGCAGTCCTCCAGGCTCAGGCTACTCCCTGACCTTCATCCACCTGGTCTGGAGGCAGAGGAGAGAGGTTAAACTGCACCTCTGCTCAAGTACTCTTCCCAGCCACCACTCCCACTCCACCCTTCTCCCGTTTACCCATCAGCTTCTTCCCTTGAAGAAGGAACCTCAGCTGCCCGCTTTCTTGATACACCCCTTCCCCCACCTTGCCTCACTCCTATTTCTGAACCCACTTCCCCCTGTCCCATCTGTTCTTGCCAAGGTCAAGCCAAGCTACCCCTTGCCTCCGGAACCAGGTAACCCAAGAACTCTTATCTCTGGCCTGGTTTTACTGCTGCAACCTCTCCTTGTCCCTATCCCTAGGATATCTCCTCTCTTCTCCATCAGCAGCAGCTAACCCATAGATCTGTTTCTAGACCTGTCCCCTGCATTCCCATTGTCCTAGAGGTCCTGCACTGGGCCCCAGGTCACCACAGAAGAGCCTGCCCTGGCACAGGCTACAAGTCCAGCACAGCTCGACACTAGCCTGGGGCTCACTGAGTGAATAAATATTGGTGAACAACTGTTGCTTTGCTGGTTTCAGAAGGGCTGTCCCTACCCATCCGGCACAGCCAGCCAGGTGGCTTTTCACAAACCGAAGACTGACTGCCGTCTAAACCTCTGCCTCGGCTCCTCAGCACCCTGGGACAAAGTTCACAATCTCTAGCAGGCTGAGGAGGCAGCTTGCGCTTCTACAGCCAGCAGGCACCGCAGCCATGAGCACCTCTCATCCTCAGTCCAAGAGTATCCATGTGCTGATCACCTTTGCATCCTTGTTCTTGGCATATGGCTGAACAGGAAAACCATGATTAGAGCTCAAGGTAATTCGGGGAACTAAGTAAGGGACCCAGTGTCTGGGCACCAGGCAAGAGTGAGGTCACAACCTTACCTGAGTAACCGTCGTTGGTCCAAAACAGATCAGTCTTCCAGAAATCAACCCCAGGTGTATGCGTGCCAGAGCTCCAGCTGACCTGGAGGCTGGGAACTGTGTCTTGATGTATGCAGGCCAGAGGCCAACCCCTCACCCAAGCCTGCTCAAAGTACAGCCTCCGCAAACAAAACTGCTCGACTCAGCACAACCTCTCACGGCTGACACACCACAGGGCCCACATCCCACTCCCTACGCCCTTTCATGTGTCCCATGGGGCAGTTTCAGCCTAGGAGTCTGAGATCCTGAGTAGCCCTCAACCTCGCATCAGTTTTCTGTGACTCCACTGCTAGCCCAGTGCTTGTCAACCTTCCCATGGTCCACGGTATCTACAGGATGGTCCCCAGATCATGCACCCCAGAAAAGAAGGCAGGTGAGGGGTATTAAATGCAGATTCCAGAGCCAGCCCAGCCATGAAGTCCTAAGACTATAGACAGCTAAATTAGACGAAAATTAGTATATAGAGAAGGATCAGGGGCTCAAGGGAATCAGCACAAAAAATACGAACAGAATTAATGCTGGAGGCAAAGCTGGAGAACCAAGTCTCAGGATGGAGGGTCAATAGTAAGGCCAGTGAGCCTCCCCAGACTTGAGACTGTGCCATAATTAACACCACCGGGTCCAGTAGGCCCCGGCAGGTATCAAGTACATTGATGGGAGACCAGAACATCAGAACCTACACTCCACTCCCTTCTCCAAAACCATACACCCTTGCTATATGACATTCCCTATCGGATCAACATCAGCTAAACGACTGGACTGTGCTTGTAACCGAACAGGTTGTCGTTTGACCCACATTGCACCCACTGTGATTTGTGGTGTGATTCTGCTGCATCACTTACCGGACAAAGGGGCTTGGGGGCCAATCACTTGGGACCTTCCCTGGAAATTCAGGAGCTATTCTCCTCCTTAGTTCCAATAAAATTCTTCTAACGTTCTTGCTTTGAGTTCATTCCACAATGTGAGACCACAAACTCTGCGCACCTGATGGGAGTTATATTTGTCTATCACTAATCTCATTTAGGTAGCAGCAGTGAGACATTGAGCACAGTGAGATTTGGAGACGACAGGAAAGAGATTTCAGATTTTGGAGCCCTAGTGTGACAGGCAGACGTCGTTTTCTGGACAAACACAGTTACAAACACGAAATCCCTGACTGCCGGAAGTGGAGAGTACAATCACCACTCCAATCACTACTTTTACCTAAGTTTCATCAAAGTCAGCGCAGCTTCCGTCACTGCTGCTTCTTTCAGGGGCTCAGCGGAAGAGGCTGCAGGTTCCCCCACGTCCCAAGCCCACGGCCGGCGTGGGGCTCCCGGGGCTCCGCGCGCGGCGGGGCGGGGCAGGGTCGGGGAAGTCCTGGGGTTCCCGCTACTCACCCTCTGCAGCTTGGCCCGGGTGCCCGGTCAGCGACCGCCCACCGCCGCCAAGTAGAATAGGAGCGCGCGGCGCCCAGCCCCCGGCAGGGCCAGCGGTAACCGGCCGCAGCCGAGGACCGCGCGCCCTGGCGTCCGGAAGGGTCCCCGCAGGGTCGGCTCCGGAACCGGGTCGCCGCGACAGGCTGGCTGGCCGGGCTCGGGCGCGGTGGGGCGCGCGGCCGCCAGAACGCTGCACCTCGGTGTGCGCGGGATCGGCGCTCGCCACGGGGCCGGGCTCCGCGTGCAGAGAGCGCGAGCCGCTCCAACCCGAGCAGCGAGGCCCACGAGCCAGCGGTGCGCGGCGACCGCGAGCTCCGCTGCCCGGGGCGGGGCCAGCCTGGCCGTCCAGGTGGTGGCGCTGCGGGGCGGAGCCCGGAGCGGCTGGCCCAGGCGCCGGGATAAAGGCGCGGCCGGCCGGAGGCTGCCTGAAACCTGCGTGCTGGCCACATCACCATGTCACTTGTGCTGCTGAGCCTGGCCGCGCTGTGCAGAATCGTCTTGCCCAAAGAGCCGGTAAGCCCTCGCCTGCACCCCACTCCGCAGGTGCGTCCCAGGAGCCCCGATCCTCGCTGCCTCGATCTGCCAGCGGAAGAGCCCACGGACCGTTCTCTGGAGGAGACCTGTGTGCACACCTTGGGGCAACCCAGTGGGCTTCAGATCGCCGGCAGCCCACTGTTCCCAAGCTGTCCCATAGTAGGCATCAAGCCGCTTGGCTTAAGGGCGTGGGGATCAGACGGCTTTGGCTGCAGAGTACCCTGGGCTCTTTTTCTCTATTTTTCGTGCTGGAGACGGAATCCAGGGTCTCACTCCTGACAGGCACTGAGCTATACTCCCCACTCGGAGCGCTTCATTGGATCATTTATGCTCTCCTCGCCTCGTGGGTAAAAAGCAGGGTCGCAACTAAGTCACCCAGGTCTCTTACCAACCACGGGGCCTGCAGAGCAGCTGTGAGGGAGCCCCCTTGGCTAGAGGAATCGATGCTCACTCAGCGTTGCTTGGCACCTGCGCACCTGTTGGTGAACAAGGACTGCTGATCCATTACCACTTGCCTGTTTTAACTTTTCTTTTTCTCCTTTCCTCTATGCTGACTCGTTAAAGTAATTTCCTTTCTTCCTCAGTGCGAGGAAACGAATCTTTTGAGTCGCTAAAGAAGAAAAAACTCACCCCACAAATAGCCCTAAAAATCAGTCCCTGCCTTCTTATCATAACATATAACCTAAATACATGGCTGATACCTGTTGATGGTTATAGGAAATCAAACTCCATCCATCTTGTCCTGATGCCTTCCGTTACTACCCTCTTTGGTGAGGATCCCTTGCTTTTTCCACATGAGGAAGAATTCACTGGCTTTGTGGAACTTACTGTAGAGCCAAAGGTTTGAACTCTGTCACAGTTAGAGTTACTGCTTCTTCCTCAAACTTAGCTCAACCCTCTGTCAAGAAATCAGCTCCTATTAGGGTGGCTTGTGTAAAAATACTGTCTGCTGATAGTCCTTCCAAAATACTTCAACAAAGACAAAGGGATAACTGAGGACATCACCAGACCCCAACTTCTCTCTCAAGAGATATTTGGCAGTGTGGAGGCTTGGCAAGGTCAGATTACAGAGCTGGTGGATTTACCACATTGAGTGCTGCCTCAGAGTTAAAAAACCTTTGGGTTCAGTGTCTTATTTCAAAACCAAAGTACTACATGTTTTTTCCTTATGAAAAGACCCAAGCAGTTAACATAGAAGAATTGAATATGAATCTTCTTGGACATGGATAATGCATATTTGCTCTTTTTAGACACTCTTTTTAAAAGGTGACATGATGAAACCACAGTTACTTATGAAGGTTTTCTGAATATCTGAGGTGAGTTCTGTGTTAGAAGAGAATGTGTGAAAGATCTGGGGAATGGGCCATGGGCCATGTTCATTGCTTCCTTCTATTGATCTTTCCAGCACAACCAATCCTTAACCTGGGGAAACTCAGTAAATACTCCAGACTTTCTAAAACCTGGCAGCTAAACATTCAATATGGAGGGACCTCTTAATGCTCCAATTCATCCCTGGCTTGTAGCAGGGAAGGCTGATGCCCAGAGACCCCGCCTCTGGCCTTCAAGTGAGGAGACTGGCTACTGCATATCAGCACATCGGTGGCGAATCTATGGTCCACTGTGGTCTACAGTATGACAGATTAGCTTTCCCTAAGCTGTGAAATGGAACCAACTCATTTTTTGAAAGTTTGTTATTTATGTATATACCTAAGGGGGAAAAATTCCATTGAAGGTTGGCTTTAATATGACACTTGGTTTCTTTCTTCCCTGCAGACTATTCAGTGTGGCTCTGAAATTGGTAGGTGCCTCAGGGAACAAATATTTGGAGCATTACATTGAAAGCACAGTTGAACTTTAAGAGGGCTGAATCCAGTAGAGATGATCAGAGACCAGGCACAAGGACAACCAGTGTTTTAACTGACGTCTGAAATGGCTGGCTTCCAGCCCAGTGTGGGGACCACAGGCATGGGAGGACTCGCCATGAGGGTGGAAGTCCGTGCCTGCAGAGGCAGATGGGGAGTGGTGGGGAGGAAGTCACTTAACTTGGGTCCAGGAAGCAGTGTAAAGAATATGTGCTTGAGATGATAGCATTCAAAGAAAGAGTGGGTTTCTGCCTAAAAATGTGAATAGGAAGGGTGGGCTAGAGGTGAAAGAGTGGCCACTAAGATGTGGGAGAGTGGGGTATTATGGATCAACAGACTGGAGGTATGGAGAGGCAACACTGACCCTAACAAACCCATGAAATACACTGAACACGCACACACACACACACACACACACAAACATACACATGAGCATGTGATCCCAAATGCTCTGTGGTTTGGGGCCAAGGCTGAGGGCATTTCTCTTAGTTCAGTATTACCTCAGCTATCAATCAACGAACACCATGAAAGGGCCTGTCTTAGCAGGAAGATGTGACCCATAGTGAACTGGGGGTAGATCAGTGTGGATCATTTATAGGAGATGGCCCCTAACTGGCCAGGAAGGGGAATATCATGGTAAATCTTGCCTTTTCAAACCAGGGCCATCTCCAGAATGGATGGTCCAGCATCCTCTGACCCCAGGAGACTTGAGGGAACTCCGAGTGGAACTTTTTAAAACCAATGCTACAGCAGAGGACTATTCAGTTTTGATGAACATAAGCTGGGTGCTCCGAGCGGATGGTGAGTTTGTGTCAAACACAAATGTCTACTGAACCAGAGTGCTGTACAGCCCATATATTTCTGTTGGGCATATTCTGTTCCGGCAACACTGTTCATAACAGCCAAAAGCACCGAGAATCCCAATAGTACAATGTAATCCAATACAGCAACAAGAATGAGCAATCTGAAACTATACACAATACAGTAATAAGCCAGATTCTGGAGTTCATACATTTTTAGCTAAATGCATTCTTACACTAGTACATGCCATGTGGTTCCTTTGTAAAAATGGCAAAATTAATCTGGTGGTTGAAGTCAGACTGGTGATTACCATAGGGGTGGGAGTAACTGAAAGAAAGCATGAGGGGTATTCCAGGGTGTTTCTTGACCTGTACTTGTTGCATGAATGCAAATTCATTAAGTAGTACGCGGATGGTCTGTGTATTTTCCTGTATGTTATGTACTTCATGGAAAGAGATATGATAAGGCCAGAATGGATTTCCTCAACTGAGGAAAAACACTGGTTTAGGTAAGTTGCTTTTCTGTTTCCTAAATGATGTCATGAAAGCCCTGGCATTTCCCTTATATTATGCTGCAAGGCACCTTGTGGCTTATGACAAGCTAATCCTGAGACCCTAATGCCCATGTTTGTGGTTTCCATCTACAAAATTCAGTTAAACTTGCCCTAATCAAGTATTTATCTATGAGTGCCAGGCACAGAGGTGAGTTGGCTGGCCCGTCACAAGGGTTTTCAGAGATTTGGAGAGGCAGATGCAGGAAGCATGAGGGGAAGCCCTGAAGGGAACTGTGCTCCACAGAGGGGGACAGGACAGGGAGGCCCAGGAGAGGAGCCCTGTTGAGACGCCCGTGAAATGAAGCGATAAAGTTGGCCCCATCCCTGGCAGAGGGAATTCTGTTGGCTGTTAGAAGCTGTGGTGCACGTGTTGAGTTAAAGGAGAAAGAATTTACCAGGAAGGAGAACTGGCATGGCTTGGTGATGACACTTTGGGGGTCTTCGTGGTATTCCCAAAGTCTTAGAGATTTAGAATACTGCAGGTATAGCTCGGCTGACCAGCAAGAAGAATCTTAAGCTTTGGAATTTGAATTCGTACTTGCTACAGTTGTAAGTTTAGGCAGAGCCCCCTGAAACTCCTAACCTTGCTCACTTCGTCTGCATACCTGAGGTGACAGTGCCTCCCTCTTAGCGCTGTTGTGAGTTTGCACTGAGATGAGGCATATGAAGTGTGTCAAATCAGTCGCAGAGCAAGTGTTAGTAAACAACTACCTGCCCTCTTACCCATCTCTGCAGCCAGCATCCGCTTGTTGAAAGCCACCAAGATCTGTGTGACAGGCAAAAGTAACTTCCAGTCATACAGCTGTGTGAGGTGCAACTACACAGAGGCTTTCCAGTGGCAGACCAGACCCTCTGGTGGCAAGGTAAGTACTGTTAGGCATGTGGTTGTCCCTGAAAATGGGGTCTTTGGGGAGCATGGACTCTGTGCAATACAGACAGGCTGGTGAGGAGCTGTGATGCAGACAGAGCAGGACACCTAGATTCAATCTCAGTTCTGGTTACTTCTCTCCATGCTTTGGGCAAGTCAGAATCTCTGGGCATCCCGGTCAGGAAAGCGAGGGGAGTGGAACTTAATTTTATTTCCTTAGTTCTACAGTTCGCAAATCACGTGGAGCCTGTTCCCCAAGTCGACCATGGTCAGCGAACAAGGAATGAAATCACAAATGAAAAGCTCAACACACAGCAGGGTTGCTGCCGCCCCGTGGAGTGTGCTGGGAGCTCACGTGCCTCTCTTTGCCTTTCAGTGGATGTTCTCCTATGTCGGCTTCCCGGTGGCACTAAGCACACGCTATTTCATCGGGGCCCATAATATCCCCAATGCAAATATGAATGAGGACAGTCCTTCTTTGTCCGTGAATTTCACCTCACCAGGTAAACCACGTAGTCTCTTTGGCTATTCTCTATCTTACTAGGACTACTGTTTGGGGGCCTGTGCTTTGACTTAGGGAACCTAGACAAGGTTTTGGCCTTGCAAGGTCTCAGTTTCCTCATATAGAAGTAACAATTCTGTACAGAGAAGAGGGTTAAGTCAAATGTAGGCAAAGCATATGCCTGCATCTTTTATAGCCTGAGGGTAAGATAGCTCCATCTTACAGACGAGGAACTGAAAGGTTAAGTCACCTTACCTGGGTTGTACACACAGTAAAAGTAAGGCTGATATTCAAACTTTGTGTGTGTGTTTCTTTGGTGCTAGAGGTTAAACCCTGGTTAACCCCTTACACACACTAGGCAGAAGCTTTACCCCTATGCTACAACTCCAGTGTCTCCCTAGTCCTTCTTGATCAATGTCCTGGGGCAGTCCAGGGTAGTTTCAGTGCTATAGCACCTACACAGTAGTTTCCAGCTTTCTGGAGAGACCAAACAATTTTTTTTGTGTGTGTGTGGTGGTGGTGCTGTTGGTACTGGGGACTAAATATATGGCCTATGCGTGGTAAGCAAACATTCTACCACTAAGCTACACCCCCAGCCCCAGTGCTCTCATTTTGCTGTTAAATTAGCTTTTTTAGTTTCTTATTTTTGCAATGATTTTAAGTTTACAAAAACATTGCAAAGGTAGTATAATGAGTTTTCACCTTCCACCAACTTCTCTGATTGTTACATCCGACAGTATTAGTGTGCATTTGTTAAATCTAAGAAATCAACATTGGTTTACTTCTACTAACTCCAGATTTTATTTGGATTTTACTCGATTTTCTAAATTAATATCTTCTTTCTTTTTCAGTTACATTTCTCCTTAGTCTCATCTGGTAACAGTTTGTTAGACTTTGTTTTTATGACCTTGATAGTCTTGAGTTCAACCAGGCATCCTGTATAATGACCCCAATTTGAGTCTGAGTATGTCAGATATGTTTATCTACTAGACCAGGGGTATGGGTTTTGGGGGAGAATCCCCCCAAAATGGATGTTTAGCCCTAATAATTTCATCAGACCTATGAGGTCACTGGTGAGAGGTGCCTTCATGACTTGGTTAGTGATCTGTATATGTTATGAGACTTCAGTTTTAAAGGCTATGGCTTTTCACATGTCTTTTTGGTAATCATCAATTGTTTTGGTAGAAGTAGAACTTAGACTGGCTACCATTTTATGGCAGATGATTTTGTTTAACAGTAAAATTTTATTACAGTTGGCATCCCATTTAGATTTCTATCTCACATCTGGACTGTGTTGGCAGTTTGTTAGTTAGGTGCAATGTGTGTGTGTGTGCCCTTGTTGACGAGGAAATAGAATAACCTTTTTCAAAAGTATAAAAACTTCCACTCACTCTTCCAGGCTGCCTAGACAAGATAATGAAATACAAGGAAAAGTGCGTCGAAGGAGGTAAGAAAACGGAGCACTTTGCTCTTGCTAAGGATGCTCATAATTGAGCCAGCTTTCTTCTTTTTTGTACTGATAATCAAACCCAGAGCCTTCCCACTAAGCTACACTTCTGGCCAGTTTTATTTTTTAATTTGAGACAGTGTCTTGCTCAGTTGCCCAGGCTGTGCTCAAATTTGCCACCCCCTTGTCTCAGCCCCCCAAAGTGCTGGGATTATAGGCATGCACCACCATCCCCAACTCTATCCATCCTTTGATGGGTGAAGAAACTGAGGCTTTAAGTGAGGAATTATGTGTTCAAGTTGCTTAGTACCCAGACAGAAGCACCAGGGCTCTTACATCCTGGTCATCACTTTGCTCACTGTGTCTACTGAAGGAGAGACTCTAGTACGTTAATGCGGTGGAGCCACATAAAACCATCCCCAGCCCCCTGAGTAAACTATTAAACATTTTAGCTCAAACCACACTTGTAGTGTGCCAATCAAAGGCATAACCTGATTGTATGGGAGTTTCATAAGCCCTTTCACCTGCTCACCAATACCACTGGCCTGTGGTTATGGAGGCAGTAGGAATCTTCTCTTTGGATCAGCAAGCATTTGGGGTGGCAGTCTAAAAGCATGTTCTCCACATGTGCCCTTAAAAGGATCACCTCGCCCATGCTAAACTGTTAGAATTCTAACCCTGCCCTTTGAATTGTGAAATAGCCCATGTAAAATAATCATCCCAATGTCCACTTTCCAAGGGGTTTTATGTAAATTTCTGGGCAATACAGGGTTGGGCTGCTAATAAGTTTTGGGGGGACCAGTCCTGATCTTTTAGGGACCCTTTACCTTACAGGGCATCCCTCCATACCCTGTTATAGAGCCACATATGCCATTCTTATTAGAGGCAGACCGCAAGCACAGAGCGCTCTTCCCTACCAGCTGGATTTGTGAGAGTCTGGAAGCACTGGGGTATGAGGTTTGAAGGCCTGAGTCAGTCCTGGGATGAACACGTGAAGACGCTTCAAGGCAGGGCCTGAAATGGTCTCCTCTGTGGGAAAGAGCACTTGTGCTGTTACATATTATGTTCCTGGAAATGAGCCTGGTCCTTATTTGCAAGTCACATCCAGGAAACAAAGGACTTCCTTCTGATAGAGTTGACCTATCAGGGGATCTACTGAACTGTGAGACATTTCCTTCCTTCTTTGCATTTGACAAAGTTGGCTGCATGATGAGATGGAAGAAGCTCCTAGAATCCAGAATGTTCTAATGGTTGTAGTTTTGATCGTACATTCATTTCTACCATAATTTCAGACATGTCTCCTAACCTGTAGCTCCATTTCACATTCTGGGAAGAAAATACTGGCCTAGCCCTAATTAAATTACAGGTTAAGAATAGAAGTATTAGAATCTGATGTGTCTCAACCCTCAGCTCAGGGAAGCTATTTTTAATAAAGCAATGGCAGTGAGGGAGGGGGCCACTAAACTTATTTGGGCAGCAGCTACTTGGAGAATCTAGGAGCAGTGCTAGGAATTGCACTGTGTAGAACAGTCACTGACTCTTGCATGTATGCCTGAGAACTTGTTTTTGTGAAGCCTCTTTGGGGACTTTAAAGGGGACTTAAACAAAGGAAAAGCTATCAAGTCCATCCACGTGGTTCTCTTAACTCCTAGGAAGTCTGTGGGACCCCAACATCACTGCTTGTAAGAAGAATGAGAAGATGGTGGAAGTGAATTTTACAACCAGTCCCCTTGGAAACAGATACATGGTTCTTATCCAACGTGACACTGTACTGGGATTTTCTGATGTGCCAGAGGTACTGTTCCCTACATCCTCTCATCTTCAGTCTTCAGCTTCCTAACTCTGTTCAAGGAAAAAGTGGGCTTTTTAGGGTTCTCTAAGTGGGCTCTCCTGAGAGAGCTCAGAACTGTGTGTTGTCCAGATGTACCAGGCTGTTTTGATTAATTCAACAGATAACAAATTCCCCTGAGCATCCTCGTATACATCATTACAAATCTGAAACCAAATAAAAGCAGGAATTTCAGAAGTAGGAAACGAATCTTTTCACATACAGGCTAAGGAACTGAAAGCCAGTTCGGAAAAAGCAGCTTTCCCGTTAGTAGTCATTTATATGACTTGTAATTGTTGATTTTCTTTCGCTCATCTACAGAGCAAACTAAGGAGAACTTCTGTAGTCATTATGGTGACAGGAGAAAGTGAAGGTGCGAAGGTCCAGGTAAGCCTCCCAAGGTGCTGGGGAAGGGGAGGGCGCTACAAGACTGCTCACCATTGAATGCTCTTCGTGAGTCTTTCCAAGGCTGAGTTAGTTCTCTCCAGCTCACTTTTCGCAGTAGTCCTGTATCGAGCGTCTTATTCCTTGTTGTACTCTGTATCTGAGGTCAGGAAGCTGACCGTGCAGGCACCCGTACCTTCTGCTTAGATTAGCAGCAACTCGCTGTCCAAAGTGCTTGTATTTCCACTTTCTGTCCCAGACCTTCACAGCAATTCTGAGGTAGAAGAACCATTTTATTTCCCCAAGCCCACTTTTTACTGTAAAATGAAGTTGCAGAGATCTGAAGGGAAAAGGTTTGGTTTTCCAGAGCAGTGTGTGAATATGGGGAGCATCTGCTTGTCCTCTCAGGGCATCAGCTGATGCGGGTAGAAACAGAAGCTGGACCTGTGGTGCTCTCGGGTCTCCTGCCACTGTTGAGTTTACAGAGTGTGGACACAGGAACCCAGTGGGACTTAGTCATATCAAAGAGTAAGGAGTTTTTGTTTTTCCTTCCTGGAACATAAAGGCAAAGGGAACAGACCCTGTAGCATATTCCATGTCTCTTCCAGGGAACCACAGACTCCTAGTGCAGGGACCTGCCTGTCATTAAGCTCCGACTGATGTCAATATAGCCCCATAGTTCTGTAGTCCTAAAGGAAATATTTACATGTATGTTGGGATATAACCCAGCTCTTCTAGATAAGAAAACCAGCATGTTATAAACAGTCACAAAACTGAGGCTCACAATCCCAGAGCCTTGGAAGATATTTCCGGTTTGGATCACTGGGTTGGATTTTAGGGGCTTTGCTACACAAGTGTAACCAAAAGGAAAATGTCCATGAAAGAGCTCAGAGGAGGGGATGGTGGGAATAAGGCTACTGTGGAGACTCTGTCTGAAGCTCAGGGTGCCATTTCTGAGCCTCCTATTTCTCCTCAGTTGATTCCGTATTTCAATTCATGTGGCAATGACTGTATCCGACGGAAGGGAACTGTTGTGAGTTGCCCGCAGACGGATGCCCCCTTCCCTCCAGATAAAAGTAAGTGCTGCTATCACTGGATGATCAAAGAGGCTCAGAAAATAAGGGGTCTCACTGTCTGGTGTGTAGTGGGTATGTGTCTGTGGGCAGAGTGAGGGGTGCCTGCCTGTGTTCCCGGAATTAGTGTGCACCCATAACCTAAGATAAAACCTTCATTTATAAAACCACTCCTGACCCTTTAGGAAAGCAGGATACAGAGAGACAGGAAGAGTTAAACTGTACAGAAGAGATACTAAAAGCACTCACTCCAAGGAGCTGCTGAGAAAACGCAGGGGACTCAGTCAGTGTCAGAGAGAGCTTGTTCTCCACTGCATTCTGATCGCAGCAGTACTGACCTACCTGTTACCGTCCATGTGGTCACATGCCAACATTTGGGTAACAAATCATAATGGCACCAAAAGACATCCCACTGGTGCCTGAGTGGCATGCTCTGGAAAATATCACTGGATTTGGAGATGTGCTGTTTCTTTTGTTAAGGTGGAGAGATAAGATGTTTCCAGAACTAGCCTCTGGTTGGGGGTCAAAAGATGGAAGGTATTATTAAGAATCTCAACTAGCCAGGGGTGGTAGCACTTATCTGTAATCCCAGCACTTGGGAAGCTGAGGCAAGAGGATCACCATGAGTTTGAAGCCAGCCTGGCTACATAGGAAATTTAAGACTAGCCTGGACTACATAGTGTAGTTGAGACCCTGTCTCAAAACAAAACAAAACAAAACAAAAAGAATCTCAGCTAAACAAATAGAAGACACCTGAGTCCTGAGCCTGCGAGTGTGCTGATCCTAATGTTCCTGGGAAGGAAGGCACATTTCTCATCAATCTTTTAAAAATGCCCTGCCATCTATGTTGGCATTGAGTGTGGTGCACACCTGTAATCCCAGCATGGAAAGGCTGAGGCAGGAGAATCACCACAAGTTTGAGGCTAGCCTGAGCTACATAGTGAGTTCAAGGCCAGCCTGAACTGCAGAGCAAGATCTTGTCTCAAAAAAAAAAAAAAAAAAAAAAAAATCCAGAAACAAAAACACCATGTGTGTGTACTGTGTATACAAGAAAATGCACCCAGAATGACAGCGATTCCTCAAAGAACCATGAAAAGCCAAATGTAAACTCTGGTTCCACAGTGAAAATGTTGATGTAAAGAGTAAGGCAACCCCCTGCCCCCCAAAAAGAGAAGAAGAAACCCGAGACATTTTACAGGACATCTCCCTATCCCGTTTTACAGGACATTTCACCAGGACATCTCCCTATCCTGGTGAGAACCAAATAAGAGCAACCTTGACTCTACAGAAAAAAACACTAATCAGTACACTCCTTTAAGATCTTCTGACTCTTGTTTTAAAGTTCTATAAAATCTAGCGTAGAAATCTTAATTTTTCAAATAGATATATAAAAAAAAAAGAAAAAAAAAACGAGGCAGGAGGATTGCTGCAAGTTTGAAGCCAACCTGGGCTACATAGCAAGACCCTGTCTCAAAAAGAAAAAGAAAACATTGGTAAATATGATTTTGTTTTGCTGATGTGAGTAACCTTTTGTTTTTTCAGACAGAAGCATGCTGGGAGGCTGGCTGGCCCTGCTGTCACTGCCTGTGGTCTCATGGGTGTTGGCAGCTGGGATCTATATAATGTGGAGACGTGGTAAGGATTGCATTTTAAAGATAAAGTAATGAGGAAGTCACTGTGTGCACATGCATGCGCACATATCTATGCACACTGAGGATAAAACCCAGGGTCTCATGTGTGAGGCAAGTGCTCTGAGATATATCCCAACTCCACATTCTGAGCATTTTAAAAGGAGAGTCTTCTAGGGCAATCACCTGTTAGCCTTTCCCAGAACTGAGACAGCACATCTACTGCCTTAACATGCTGCTCAAAGCCTGGGATGGTAATAACTGCATCGCATCTGCCAGCTTAAAGCAAGGGGAGGTCTTACAGATCTAGGTCTACCTATCCTGTTTTATTTCTGTCACGGAGGGTTCACAGATCTAGGGTCTACCTATCCTGTTTTATTTCTGTCACAGAGGGTTCTACAGTCTGAAACAGGCAAATGGTGGCTGATAACATTTCGCCTGTGATACTCTATTCTTATTTTTTAAAAGTAGTTCCAAGACATTAGAACAACATTCACTTACCTCCATGCACTCTGAAAGGTCACTGCTAACCCTACAACATTGAGTATGTGAATGCAGAAGTCAGGGTACTTCACCTGGCACGGTGGGGCAGTTCTGAGCCCAGTGTGAGCAATGTAGTGAGTTGGTGAGAGGCCCAGTCTCCAAAACTAAGGTCTGGGTCCGGGTATAAAACTCAGGGTTCAATTCCCAGTAATCTTCCATAAGATAATAGACAAAAAAATCAATTCATATATAGCTAATGGAAAGATTCTGTCTTTCCTCCAAATAGAAAAGGAAATATAAATGCACCCATAGTATTTATGTTGTAGACACAGTTGTAAAACTCTTTGTTATTTCTAAGCTAGAAAATCATGTGAGCTCTTTGCTTCAGGAATCGTTATATTTAGGGGATGCTGTGTGAACTGTATTATCGTCATTTCATACTTTGTTCCTGTTTTATAACACAGAATAAGGCAGCCTTTCAGTTAAGTTCCAGGAGCTTAACTCTGGAACTGTAAAGAAACTCTACCACCTGCAGGCGGAAAGTGGTATAAACCACCACGAAGCAGATGAAGCAAGGTGAATGGCAGAGGTCAGATAGCCTTTAGGTAACACTAAAAGTGAAGTTCCAACTCCCCACCTCCAAGTACCTTCGCCCTAAGCAGTTTCTGTGACTTTATGTGAAAAGATAAAGCATGACTGAAAGAAATGATTTAGTAGGAACTTAGAAAATACATCTTTTAAAACTTGTAACTCTTTTTGCGGTACTGGAGAGTGAACCCAGGGTCTCATGTATTTTAGCCAAGTATTTTACACTGAGCTATACCCCAGCCCATTAAAATGTTTTAGAAGTTTAGGCATTGGGGTTTCAGATACCAAGTCCAAAAGAGTATCAGGGTTACCTTCCTTGTCTGGCAGTAACATGGTGCCCCTGCCGTTCTCTGGTATGGCCCATTTTTCAGTGATGGTTTGAATTAGAGTGAATCCAAATACAGGTAACAAATGCTTTTCTCACCTCCCACAGAAAGGATCAAGAAAGCTTCCTTGCTTGCTACCACATTACTGCCCCTCATTAAGGTTCTTGTGGTTTATCCATCTGAAGTCTGTTTCCACCACACCGTCTGTTACTTCACTGAATTTCTTCAGAACCACTGCAGAAGTGAGGTCATCCTTGAACAGTGGCAGAAAAAGAAAATAGCTGAGATGGGGCCAGTGCAATGGCTTACCACTCAGAAGAAAGCTGCAGATAAAGTGATCTTCCTTCTTTCCAATGTCAGTGCGGTGTGTGATGGCACCTGTGGCCAGAGCAAGGGCAGCCCCAAGGAGAACTCACAAGACCTATTCCATCTTGCCTTCAACCTTTTCTGCAGCGACCTAAGCAGCCAGACTCACCTGCTCAAATACATAGTGGTCTACTTCAGAGGTGCGGATCCCAAGGATGACTACAGCGCTCTCCACATCTGCCCCAAGTACCACCTCATGAAGGAGGCCACTGCTCTCTGCACTGAACTACACTGCGCCACGCAGCACAAGCCAGTGAGGAGATGGTCACGAGCCAGCCACAGCAGCTACTCCGCTTTGTAGCCTACCCAAGAGAAGGGGGAGGACTCAAAGCCTCCTTATCCAACAATTCCAGGGGAAGACCTTTGTGAGAATCCTGAAGTTTACTGTCCAGACTACTTATAAGGAAAATCGCAACTGAACACATGCCTCAGGTTACTTATTAAAAAACGTTCTGCCATAAAACTATTACAAACAAGATGGGCGTGGTGGAGCACGCTGGGAATTCCAGCACTTGGGAGGCTGAGGCAAGAGGATCACCATTTCTAGGCCAACCTCAGCTACACAGTTCAAGGCCAGCCTGGAATACATAGCAAGATCCTGTCTCAAACAAAAAATAATAGTTGCAAACATTACTAACTGCTGGAACATTACTAAACAACTGAAACTAAATTTCTAGTTACAGAGCTAAACCAATTTTATATCTAAAGTTCAAGAGTATTACTGCAGACAATCATTCAGATAATGTAGCAACACTCTCTTCCAGCCAGGTGTCCATCCAATCGTAATAGTCCATGGGTTACAATGCAGGTTGTTTAGCTCTGTAACATTCTAAGCTCAATTAATGAGGACTAAGAATTCCTCACTATTTCACTTAGCTTCCTGCGAGAAAAACCGTATTACACACAAAAGTATTTTTAAGATACTAAAAGTGGGGAATAATTCGGCAGTGGTAGTACACACCTGTAATCCAAGTGCTTCGGGAGACCTAGGCAGGAGGATGGCAAGTTTGAGTCCAGCCTGTGCAAGTTAGTAAGACCTATCTCAAAACTAAAAAAAGTTCAAAAGGATGGGGATATAACCTTCATTGAAGGCCCTAGGGTAATTCCCTAGTATTGCAAAAAAAATTGGGAGTTATTAAGCTGGACCATCTTGGTTGACCAGATGAGCTGATCGATGTATAACCACCATGTAGTATGGTATTTGCTATTTGGGAACTTCTTGCTCCAAATTAGATTAGTATTCTGCCTTTTGTACAAGTGACCTTTTTTTTGGTCTTTTTGAGACAGGGTTTTGCTATGCAGTTCAGGCTGGCTTTACACTCACTCATTTTGTTGCCCAGGCCTCCTGAGTGCTGGGATTCCAAGAGTGCACCACCATGCCCGGGTCAAGTGACCTTTAAATGAAATCCAAATACATTCCTGCAAAGCTGATGTCTACTTTTTGAAGTTATCTATTAGAAGTTACCATCAGAGTTCTGTTATTACATAATCATTCGTGTTAAACATTCTCAAACTGAAAGCTTACTTTCTTAAGATAATGGTTCTTTTTATGTTAGTAATACTGATTACTTAAATAAAAAACAAAACTGCCAGAGTAACAGAATGTAGAGATGTACGCTATTGATACAGGGGAAAAACAAACCCCAGGTTGCTAGGCGTCAAATGTGCCAAGTTCTTGTCTCCTGAAACTGAAGAATGAATTGCAAAGAACAAACATTATGAGTAGAAATGATTTACTGAGAGCTTGTAAGAGACGGGAGGGATCCTAAAAGGGGGTTGCCACCCAGGCATTTCTCTAACAGTGTTTTATAGGGCAAAATCACGAGATACGCTAAATCACAAGGTTACTAGTGTCAAACTATAGTCAACCAGTGAGATTACAAACACAGCTGCTTGGCTAACACTGATCCAGTAAGGAAGCAGGCCTCCTAGTAGGGGATATGGCATCCCTAACTTCTGAAACAGGATCATTTTGGGAAAGGGATGGGCCCCAGTGCTCCGGCCACCCATCCAGGTATCTGAAGCATATCTGGGTTTAATGGACTAGGTGGTACCAGCCGGCACAATATCAAATTTCCATTCATTCTTTTGCAAAGTATGAAACTATGGCCATTGTGATGTTAATTCCGAGACTTCTGCCTTCCTCAGATGTGCCTCTAGCCACAATTTTGATGTCTCTACCTCTCACTGACTTCCTTATGAGCTGGTCCCTGTCTGTGTATTTTATGAATTTTATTGGTACACTTTTGATATACATAATCACATTCATCATAGGCAATTTGTACTGGTACATATCTTGACTTTGTTTTTTCTCATTTCCCTCCCCTTCCATCAACCTCTCTTCCCCTCGTTTACTTAAGCTGGTTTTATTTTTCCTTTTCCTTTCCTTCTCTTCCCTATCCTCCTCCCTAGACCCCTTCCCATTTGAACGTTTTTTCCCTACTTCCCAATATCCTTTTAATGATTCTCTTGAGAGGATCTCCCTAAGTTGCCCAGGTTCAGGTCCTGCTTCAGTCTCCCAAATCATTCCTATTTGGCTTTAGAAAGGAAACAAAATTTCCCTTTCAGTTGTGTTGTTTTGGTCAAGTAATAGCTTTCTTTACCTAAGCTACCCTAGAACAAGTTCGGTAACAAAAGCCAGACACAGGGTAATCTTCAGTCTTTGTCTCTGGAAATCTAAACCTGAATGGGTCCCAATCTTTTTGTACTCTAGCAGGAAACTGAAAAGCAGAACCCAAAATAAGCACATTTTTTACCCTGTTGGAATTCCAAGGGGACATACAAATCACAGTATGAATAGAACTTAGACACTGTAGTATCCAAGACAAGAGGGGCCCTCGGGGCTAGCAGAGGCTCAAAAGTCACTCGGGCTGGGCTGGTGGTGTACCTGTAATCCCAGCACCGGGAGGCTGAGACGGAAGAATCACTGGGAGTGTGAGATCAGCCTGGGTTACAAAGTAAACTAAACTCAGGGCCTGCCTGAACCGCATATGGAAACCCTGTCTCAAAAAGACAGAAAAAAAGTCACTTGGGCTTCCCTGAGGTAGACAGGCAAAATATGACACATAAAAGGGAAACAACACAATTTTTAATCTTAAAGTTGTTTTAAAAACTGCTGCCTCAGGATAGACCAATCAAAAATTCCTGGTCTTTAACAACACATAAGCTGAACCATTCCCTTTTACTTGCCAATAGGCCTTCCCAACTTTGAACAGACCTTCCCTTTCCATCTATAAAACGGGCTTTTCCCTTAGACAAGCTGGGGTTGTCATTACCTGTAGTGGCTCTCACCTATGAATGGACCATCATGCTTCCCCTGCAGATGGAGCTGTCCCCTTTCATCTGTAAACTCAATCTCCTTTCTCACAGATTCTCAAGTTCCAGGATTTGTACCTCTAACTCATCTATAAACATACTAAGCTCAAGGCTCTAAGGTGCCTCTCCCCTTTGGAGGGCCCACCCTCTATTTCTTTGAGTGTATACTTTTAAAACTGTGCCTAATTAATCTCTTTATGCCTCTTGATGGGTTCTGCTCTTATGGGACTCTGCCAGACTTACCTGGGCCTGTGGTGCTGGGCCCTAGAATGACAGTGTGTCCCTTTAATGCCAACCTCTGTGTTCTTCCTTCAAGCCCAAAATAAACTTCCCGCTCTTCTGCATGCCAAAGATGTTCCAATCCTCCCCCGACACCACAGTCCAGTCTCCAGCCCCAGCCCAGCTCCGTAAGAGCCTCCAAGTTCCCCCGTTTGGGGTCCTTGCAGTCTCCTCAGCCCTCCTGGGCCAGCAATGAAGTCTTTGCTTATCTCTAACTTTATCTCTCAACTGTGCCAAAAAGCCTAACACTTCTACCTGACATATCCTCAAAATTCTTCTGGGATGGAAGTCAGCTAACCTACAACCTGTACTGTGGGTGGGGCGAGTCAGGGGTCCTCACCTCTACTCTGGGGAGCTCCTTGGGGTCCAGGGATAGACACCACAGGAGGACATTCAACAGAAACGTCACTGAAAAGTTTATAAAATGCCCAGAAAGGGGCAGAAGTATTTACAACTGAAGAGTAAGTTCACATTTATTCCCAAATGTCCCACCTATGAAAATGATTATAATTTCAACCTACTGTTACCTCTGAACATAAAGTGGAAATTCTTTTATTTTCCATGAAAATTAAGGACATAATTCAATAAATTAAAACACATACATTCTTTAATCTTCTGTACCAAAAGACTTGTTTTTGGTCTTCAACAGTGACTTCTCCTCCCCATGTCACCACACAAAAGCAGCCCGCTCTCGCAGCATGCGGACACCAAAGCGCTGCCATTCTCGCTGATAAATCCACAGTTCCTGTGTCGTGTCCAAACACGCCAGCACTGCTCCTCCTTTCCACGCAATCAGCCGGGGATCCATGTCCTAGACAAGGGACAGGGTTATTCTGCACAAGTAGATAAATGGTATGTCGTCATTTACTTCAATTGAAGGGAACACCTACCTGCTGAGTCAATACCCCATATTTCTTTTTTTTTTGTCTTTTTCATTTTTTACTGGTACCAGGGATCGAACTCACAACTGCCTGCTTGCAAGGCAGGCGCTTATGCCGCTGAGCTAAATCCCCAGCCCCAATACCCCATATTTCTATTTGCACTAAAGATAGCACAGCTCACAAACCCTCTTCATCCAAAGAGAGGCGCTTCCTTTTTATTACTGAATTGCTACTCTTCCCTATTACTCCACAAAGAGGTGCTATAAGCAGGAAGACATATAACAAAATAGTATTAGGGGTCAGTGGCTGGGCACAGTGGTGCAGTCTTTAATTCCAGCACTCGGGAGGCTGGGGCAGGAGGACCTCACATTTGAGCCTTACCTGGGCAACTCAGAGAGACCCTATCTCAAAATGTAAATTAAAGGTCCGGGGATGTAGCTCAGTGTGAAGGCACTGGGTTCAATCCCAAGACCATCAATCAATCAATCTCCACAATATTAAATATCCACGTATATTAGAATAACACTGCCAAGAATTATAGTGGGATTTAATAAAATACATGATCTATTTCTAAGTTCTTGGGTTTATGTGTCAAAATAGTTCAAGGTAAAAGAGATCCTTAAAGAGCTCAGGTCCAGGGACAAACAGTAGGTACTTCCTGTGACTGAGACAAAAATGGGAGCTGTGCTGGCTGTCAGTCTATGCCAGCATTTTCTTCTGACACACTGGTCCTCTCACAAAGGCAGAAGCCTGGCACGGTAAGCGCATAACCAGGAATCTAGTCCCCCACCTCAGAGCGCCTTCTGCCACATATGTGACCTGCTGAAAGTAATTCTTCTACTTCCCAAGTCCTCATGAACTTTCAGACACAAGCTACGCGTCCCAGGATTTTCTGTCCACACACATTACAATTAGAAATAACCAACGCTCATTTCATTTTCATACAGTCCAACCTGCACCACCAAACAACACACCTTGGGCCTTGTGATCACATCTACATTTTCAATAATTCGCCTAAATGATGGGGGCATTTTGTTGAGAATTCTGTGCTGGAGAAATTCTTGTGCTTTATGGAACATCAAACCACCTCCCACCACCAGGATGGAGCTGTACATCTTCTTTTTGGTATCATCAGATGCTGAAAGAGACAGAAATATCCCCTCCATTTACCCACCACCACCACCACTCCAGGAAAGCCACCATCATAGCCACCTCAAAGGTCTCCCTCCACCCTCAACACGACAGCCAGAGGAACCTCGCAAATACACACGTGGGCCTCTTGCTGCCCTACCCCCAGCACTGTACACCTCACAAGATAGGGCCAAGTTCTGTAAGGTGGCCTGAGGCCCAGCACATGGACCTTGCCAGCTCTCCAACCTCATCCCCACTCTGCTTCACAGCCACACTGACTTGCAGACTTCTTCCCGTCTGGAATGCTACCCAGTAGGTGAGTAACCTAGCTCTTACCTTAGATTCTCTATGTGGCTCTTATTTAAAAATCTCTCCCACGCCTCCTACCTTTCATGCCTTCCCCAGCCTAAATATAAAATCCCTTCACTAAATCTCTCAATCAGATGTCAGGACTCTTCAGTTTAACTCTACAGCACCCACCATACTTATAATTTCGCATTTGTGTGAGAATTTATTTTGATGTCTTCCCAAGGCTGTAAGAACAATTCTATTTCATTACTGTTTCCCCACACCTGGCCACGGAAGGACAAAGTAGGTGCTCAGCAGTTTTTCTTAATGAACATACTACAGTGTATAAATATCACCTCGGCTGAACCAATACGTGTTACTGTGACCTCATTTTAGTGCTAGCACCTAGCTTCCCCAAATGTGCTTACAGCAGCAGTCTATGCTATGAAGGATGGCTTTATCAAGGCCCAAGGCTTTCCCTTCAAACAGCGAGATGGCAGTCTTCCTGGACATCAGTGCAGTGAGCGCCTCCTCCGAGTCATTGCCGGCCATCAGGCAGTCTCCTTGGGAGGACCCCAAATCCACTTCCTGGGAATGGAGTCTTTCTGGAATATCGGAAGACTGGCCACGAAGATCCCCTTCAAAGCCAATGGGTTTGGATGCAGACTTTCGATCAGCAGTAGCTTTTGCGGACTGTAAGTCAATCAAAATGGCAATCACATCAACGGTATTACTACCAGAAAGACTGCTGTCTATCAGAATGCCACCCCATCCTGGCCCATTGCTAAGAATCACTAGGAACCAGGAGCCACCAGAGCACATACACCACTGCCAGAACGCACCACAAAAACTAGGAGTGGCACTACACACAGGCTTGGAAAAGCCAAAGCAAACTGACCGCATTGTACTACCACTTGCTGGATTTAACACTGAGATGTCAATGTAGACAGAGACTTTCTGACCTAAAAGTGAGTGTTTAAGTGAGATATTTCAGCGGGACTCACGGATCTCTGGCTATTACATAACCCCCATTTTCAGATCCTACTACCCCATGCTTGCCTGTGGGGCAGGAGCAAAGGGAAGAAAAGGTTTCCAGACCTCATTACTCTCCACCATAAACTGCTGCTGTTTCACTAGCAAATAAAAGCTTTAATTCATGCTCTCCTGCTAGATATCCTGTTACAAGACCGAGCTTTGAAAAAAAATTTGGCTTTTGCCAGTTACTTATCTTTCACACTGTAATTACAGTGTAGGCAAGATTGTACTGAAAATTCTATTGGATAGTCAGAAGCTGACAGTACAAATTATATATGCCCAGGGAAACACTCTGTGTGCGGACTGGCACACAGAAGTCTAATGTCAAATGAATAAAGAAATCTGCTATCCAGTTTTAAATTCAGATTCATCTATTATTCTAAAATTGAAAACAAATAAACACAAAAACGGAGCAGTGAACCCTCCATGGTGGTACATGGATGCGTGTAATACCAGCACTTGGGAGGCAGAGGCAGAAAAGATCACTGCAAATTTGAGGCCAGCATGAGTAACACAGTGAGCTTACAGCCAGCCTGAGCTGCACAGCAAGACCCTGTCTCAAAAAACCAAA